GTTTTTAATTACGAGGAACTTTGTAGTAGAATGTCTTAAAAACAAAGCACTAAAATTTCCTTGAGCCTCTTAATGTTGAGACTTAGACTGAAGATTATACTGCTCAAACTTGGCATACTTTCAATTGTTAAAGTATAAGTTATTTTGCAAAAGTGTACCCTTGCCAAAGCATCTTATTACCGTCCGAGCATCAAATATGGTAGAAAATTGATCTTTTAGCCAACAATACATTAAATACTATAGCTTTCAATCCGACTTTGCTTTCTCTTTTTCAAGATCAATCTTTCTTCATGTGTATGAGGGAAATACAGTATACAAAGTGCTTTGTATGTTGCTGATGTGGAGGGGCTGAACCACATTTAATTCGTATTTTAAGGATTGAGTCACATGGGTAAAAGGTATAAGGGCAAAGTCATATGGGTGTTTCAAATCTGGGACCTTTGACACAATTTTTCCTTTTTTTAAAGAGAGAAGAAAAAAATTATTAATTGAAAATATTTCACATTAAATTAAACATTTGGAAATAAAAGAATAACTTAAAAGGCACTTTTCATATAAATTTCATTTTCATAAATCTACGTGAGAAAATATAAAGAATACATATAATGATATAATCAACCATCGAAAAGTAAAATTGTAGCTTCATGAAGAAATAATGTTACAGAAGGTGCTAGACGGAATAGGCGTTCGAGCCAGTACCTAGAGCCTAGACATCTAGTGTACGTTTAGGTGGTACCTAGGCATTTGCCTATTTATATTTTATTTAATTATAACAATTCACAAAAATATGTGTTAAGTTCATATAAAGTTGTAAAAAACATAAATAACAATCTTTGATTCATAATCAACTATGCATAAATACTAAATAGCCAATAGCCAAATACTAAGAAACATCACCATATCTAACATAATAAGTCAGTGAGTCACCACAATAATAAATAATATCGCAAACTCCAAAGTCTAATGCTCAAGAAGTAAAAAAAATACAAATAGTATAAATGTCTAGCACGAGATATAATCATATAATCTAATCATCAGGAATCATCATCATCATGGAAATCCTCCACTACATGATCGCTCTCCTCCGATTTCATGTCCACGTAGTCCTCATCCTCATCCTTGACATCATCATCACAGGCAAGAGACTCTTTTTTGCTAGTAATCATCGAAGGCCTTGTAGCTCCTGCCATTCTTTCACTCCTCCAGTTCGCTACAACCTTAGCCGCTTCAGATACATTCTCCACCATCATCCAACTAACACTCAAACCGGGATAAGTCTCTTGCTCAGTCATCAGAGGGCACTCCATCTAGAATTCATGCACGTGTGTAGTACATTCATGCTTTGTCAGCACATCTTTATCTTCTCCTCTCCTCTTCTTTTGCTTGAGCTTGACAATGAACTTCACAAACACAAGATCCTCCAATCTCTTCAACTCTAATTTGGTTTCTCTTCTTCGTGTGAATCTTTAAAGAAGAAAAGAACAAATTAGTAGAGTCATAAATGGATGACTTTATCTTATTAATTTTAGATATTTATGTAACTTACCCCCCTCAAATATGCTCTAATTTCTCTCACATCCGAAAGAAGTGCTAGCGAGATTAAGGACCTTTATCACCAAGTTTTCAGAAAGAGATAATCACTGTCATACATATACCACCAACAAGTTGCAAACACATTGTCTCAATTGAATTCACCAATGTAAAAAATAACTTATGATTGATAAATTTAATTTATAAACAAAATTTACTTGGGTTGAATTCCACTTTCTGCCTAGCTTTCACCATTAAACTTCTACCAAATGAATCTCTTACCCTCTTCGGGATAAAGCAGCTCCACCACATCTAGAAACCCCTTCTTCCCTTCCCTAAGGTTTCTAGCAACATCATCTCAAAAGAAACAATAAGGGTTAAGGACATATGCTACCATATGCAAGGGTGTATATAATCGATCCTCGTACTTAAAATGTATAATATCAATCACCAACTTGCATAGGCTCTCCTATTTCTTCAAAACAAGCTTAATCTTCTCCTTTGTGTCTTCAAGCATCCCCACAATAAATCCCATTGAGGGTCTATGGTCACTATCGACCACCCTCAACATGAGAAAAAGGGAAGAATAGATCTTCAATAACTTGTTTACATATTGCCACCTACTCTCACACAGGATAATAGCCTTCACTTTTCTACCCCTTGCAGTCCTGGAATGCTTACTTTTCCTCCATTCTTCATTAGAGAACATGAGTTTTAGCTTTAGCTTCTTCTCATAAACTCTTCCCAGAGTCAAGAATGCAATAGCAAAGCGAGTGACTCTTGGTCTAACAATATCCCTCTTCTCACACATGTGACGCATCATATTCAAGATCTTGTGATGGCTATAGATGAAGACGGAAAGAGCCTTCGCTCTATCAATGGTTTTTTTTAAGGTTGATAACTTTCCAATGCCCTTAAGCATTAGATCAATAGTATAAGCTGCATAATTGATCCAAAAGATACTCAGCCTCTTCTCCTTCAATTTCTCCTTTGCTACTATATTTGCAGAAGCATTATTTGTGACAATATGAATGACCTTCTATGACCCAATCTCCTCAATACATGCATCCACCCACTCAAAAATGTATTCCCCATGTGTGTCCCAAAGCACTCAATTGACTTGTAGAAAACTCATGTCTAGCCTGTTGTGGATTCATATGTTCATGATTGACTGCATCTTCCTAACCAAGCATTTGTCATGATAGAACAACCACTCTTCTGTGACTTCTCCTCATGCCCCTTCAATGAGTCCTTAGTCTCATTCATAGGACCCTTTGACAACGACTCCCTCAACATATACATGCTAGGTACGTCCATAATCCCCAATAGCGATGCATATCTGCATAAAGGAGTGAGTGGAGAGGGCATGAAAAGGAATTCTATTCCCATATGCCCATCTAGCAACATGCTTGTGGACTCAATCTCTCTTCTCCTTCATATAAGCTTCCTTCACTCTAGCTTGAATCATCTTTCCCTTCAATCTCTTTGCTAGCTCAGGATCATTAGGGTACAAGCATCTGTCGGCCCAACAGTCAGCTCGCTGGACCTCTTTCAAGATCCGCCTATTGTATGAGTAGAAGAGACAATTTCCTCTTCTTTTTAAATAGCCACTGGATCCGGCTTGTCGAACTTTGCTTCATCTTGTAACTCCATGATATGCATCACCTTCAGTTTCTTCCTCCTAAAATTAGCATCAATAGCTTCTTGCATATTCTTCCTATCAACGGCCGAAATCTTAGAACACTTTATGCAGCGATTTCTTTTACTGGCAAGATGTTGCTTCAATCTGAAGAGCCCCCCCCCTTATCTTATGTGAGCACAATTTATATTGCACCAAGCACAAATTAGTTGGATCCGGAAGAAATCTAAACTCCCAACCGATATCTCCCGAGTTTCTTTTATCTTTCACGAGAATAGAGGTAGAACCCACAGATTCCTTAGGAGGAATATCCGACATTCTATATTACAACAACAATTCAACAAACAAATCATTTATAGGTCAAGTCATTAAATCATGATAAATAAAAGATTCAAATAAATAACATAATTTGATCTATTAAGTATTAATATCTATTTAGTCTTCTCTTCTATAAGACTCTATGTAAAATTGAACAAGATTTTAATCTCAATTATTAATTAAATAGATTAACTAAAATTAACTAAATTGAACAGTGAATAAAATTGTACTAAAATTGAATATGATTAGACTAAAATTAACAAAAATTAGAAACCGTGAATAAACAAGATTAATTAATTAAAATAAATTAAACTGATTAATTAAACTAAATTGAACAAGGTTAACTATTTAGTCTTCTCTTCATACAAAATTAAACTAGAATTGAACAAGATTAATATTAACTACTTAAAATAGCGAATAAGTTAAAAAACAATTTAAAAATTAAAAAAAGTGAAAATTTAGAATTTACCTAAAGAGAAGAGGCGGCGGCGACGGGAGAGGAGGGCTCTGGCCTGGGAGAAGAGGCGGGAGGAGGTGAGGAGGTGGAGGAGGCGACGACGGGAGAGGAGGGATGATCGACAGAAGAGGAGGAGGCGGCAAGAGCAGGGGGGTGATCAATGAGAGAGGAGGAGACGACGGGAGAGGAGAGGTGATCACGAGATCGAGAGAGGAGGAGGCGGCTGGAGAGGATATGCGAGAGGGTGGGAGAGGGTTTAGGTTAAGTGAAGCAGGTTGGGTTTGGGTTATGCGTTCGGCTTTTGATGTTAACTGGACTTGGGCTGGCTTTTAGTTTAATTTTCTTTTTCTTTTTCTTTTGTTTAAAAAGCTAGGCCGCGCCTAAGCGCCGCCTAGATTGGGTGCTCCAGCCAAATCTAGGCGGCCAAGGGTTTGCCTACGTCTAGGCGGACGTCTAGGCATCCACCTAGGCCGCTTTTTACAACATTGTGAAGAACTAAAATAGTTTACTTGATTCGAAAGCCTATATGAGATATTTAATTTGAAAGGTTTTAAATGATTTTGGTTAAATGTGTATGTATCCAAATTTTGAAGGATCTAATCTAAATTTTGTAGACATAATGAGGCCTTATAGAAAGTAATCTTTATTTATTTTTTAATTGAAATATTTCCTCCTCCCAGCTGTATGTCTCATGTGGCAAAAGCCCTATTGCCATACTAACACCAGAGAGGGAGTAAGTGGGTCTGTTTGGTAAACTACACAAAACTGGGTCACAACTGGTCATGACTCAGTTTTGTGTTAAATTGGTTCTATTTTGAATCGGGGGGAGGTGGTTCAAAATAGAATCAGTTTAACAACTCCTTTTAAGCATGGGAAAAATTGGACTAGATTTGACCCAGTATTTCCTAAACTAAGTTAGATTATATTGACCAGGTTGAAACCCGGGCCCAGTGAATCTTTTTGCGGCCCAACTCAAATTTCCAAACAAAACAGGTTCTTAAGTGGACCGGGTACATAAACACCTCTTCCTTTAAAACCTCCTCTCCCAAAAACCCCAGCCTCCTGCTCTTACTCTCCTTCTTCTCTTCCTCTCTCTCGCTCCATCACGGCCATGGCGGCAGCATCGACCGAAGGAGCTCCGACGGCGGCGGCGGCCATGGAGACAGAGGGCCGTCTTCCTCCTCGCCCTCAGTTCGAGGCGTTGAAGGCCCACGAGATGACCGACGGCAAGCCCCAGTTCCGCAAGGTCGTGGTCCCCTCTCACAGATTCTCGCCGCTGAAGAAGAACTGGATGGAGATCTACACTCCGGTCTACGAGCATATGAAGATCGATATCAGGAGGCGGCCATGGAGACAGAGGGCCGTCTTCCTCCTCGCCCTCAGTTCGAGGCGTTGAAGGCCCACGAGATGACCGACGGCAAGCCCCAGTTCCGCAAGGTCGTGGTCCCCTCTCACAGATTCTCGCCGCTGAAGAAGAACTGGATGGAGATCTACACTCCGGTCTACGAGCATATGAAGATCGATATCAGGATGAATCTCAAGGTTTGGTTTCTTTTCTCTCGTCTAGGGTTAGGGTTTTTAAATTTTCATTCTGAAAACGAACATGTAACTAGTATTTGTTGATGTGATTGGGTGGAGAGCTATTTGCTAATACCAAAATGATGAATTGTTTCTAACATGTAAGCTAGACTCCTCCTTAAACTGTTTTCCCTTGGCGAAATGGTCACATTCTTTTCAATAACTGGTACGCCCATAGAGTATCTTCACTTCCAATTAACCAAGTTAAAACAGTTGCGGAGGGTTCTTTCAAGTTTCTGTTGGTGTACGTGGAGAGCTAGAAACAACTTGGATCTTTAGAGAGGAGGCCTCTAATCCATGCAAGATTGCTTCGAATACAATGTATTTTGTGTTATTCTGGATGGGAATCTCAAACAGAAAGGGGGATGTTTTCTTTCGTGATTAAATCAGTAGCCAAGAATCAGGGAATTAAAGCTCTTATGCAGAATATGGAGAGAAGGATGGGATCGAAGAGAACTTCTAATCAGTCTTTCCATGTTGAGATGTTTTCTTTCTATAATCTTTTATACTCAAAAACTTTTTTTTTTTTGATGCTAAGAGTCGGGCATGTCAGCTCTTAAACTCTTTGTACGGGTTACTTTCTTTTGATTATGATAATAAACGTTTAGAATTCTTAGCATACCTAACCATTGATTACTTTCTTCTGTTGGTGGTTGATGAGGTCCTATGCTCAGCCTCAAATGACAAGTCTTTTAAATAGGGCTTCTCACCTTATTTTTACCAGGAAAAAATATTGATAATAACTTAAAACCGCTCTCCTCTCTTTTTTTAACGCTGTCAAGCGATCTAAACCATCATTCAAACATTTTTCCTCCTACACACCTGTAATTTTTTTCATCAAATGATTTTATACACATGAGGCAAATCAAAGAGAATTAATTGACATGTAATTTATCGCTCTAATGTGTAACAATAACATCACATGCAACAACCCAACAGCTACATGTTGATATAAATGAATAATGGCTGATTTATATCAAGGATACCATTTATATGGTTGGATTTCATAGATGAAAATTAAAAGGTGTTTAGTTAGTAGTATGTGAGTTTTAGTAGCACAATGACTAATTGAATGCAGTTTAAATGGTTCAAAGTAACATACGTGTTATATATAGTATAACAAAGGTGTTAGAAATGTATAGTTATGTTGGTATGGTAGTGGGCAAGCTCGTGCGCATGGTCCGTGCGCGTGATCTGGCGCATGCGCTGGTGTGTGCCCTTTTTGCATGTGCTGCATTTAACTGGCCTGAATGTTTTTTGCAAATACCAAAATTATGTAATTGGATGGAGAGTCTAAGGACCTGTTTGGGTTTGGATTTGCCCCTCGCAAAGGAAAGTTAGGTCAACATAGGAAAGTTAGGTGTAGGGTTTGTGGAAATACCAGTTCACTTTTTGGTCCTCAGGATTATTTTGTTGGGAAACTCTGTTTCAAGATGTAAACATAATCTTTATTTAGCTTTAGTCTATGTAGATGTTAATATGGCTGATAATGAGTCTAGCTTAACATTTAGAAACGCAAAAGTAGCTTTTATGTCTATCAAATTTAACATGTACAATGTTTTTACCGCCAATGTCGTGTATGTGCAAATTATAGTCTGTATTGTCATTGTTATCATCATCTAAATGTGTTTTCCCGTAAAAACTATGGGTACGGACAAGGTTCTGCTGAGCCCCACAAAAGAAGCAACGAGTTTCGTGCAATCTGCTCTCAATGACTCTGGTCAAGTCCGATAAGCAAATTGAGGGCCTCATCGTGATCTAGATGTCCAGTCAGATAGCTGGTAGATTTGTTTAGTTATGTACTTAGCTCCTGCTGGCTGGTAGTTCTTTTAGTTATGTAGTTTAAGCTCATTTAGTTATACATAAGAAACCTCTTGGATTCCTCTGAAGGGAAAAACGTAAGTCGATGAAGGAATTATAATAAAAGAAAAGATGGAGAAGTAGAGGAAAATCCAAGGAAGAATTAGAGAAGGGGTTTAAGTATTGTTTGCTGACATTTGACACTTCTGCTTCATCTTCTACTTTCAAGCCAGAGTTTCATGTGGATTGATTTGACTCAATCCATTTAGTTCATAGCTGCCCCTCTCAGACTCTCAGTTCCAGTTTTGATAGTAGCAGTGTAGCACCATGGGCATTTGACTCAATCCATTTAGCCCGTAGCTGCCCCTCTCTCAGTTCCAGTTTTGATTGTGGCATATGGGTAGTGGAGATACTGTCCTGTTAATAGTCTGCTATTAATAGTTTCCTGTAACATCAGAAGCCATTTTCTATAAATTTCCTATATAACATACTGTCTGTCCCTATTAATAGTTTCCTGTAACATCAGAAGCCATTTTCTATAAATTTCCTATATAACATACTGTCTGTCCATGACCAGTTATGTAGAACACTCTTCCTGTAACATACTGTCCTTCGATTAAGCAGTATCGTAACTATTGTCCTGACCGTTCTAGGCGTGACTCTTTAAGTACATATTTTTCTCATTCATCTCCTTTTTTGTGTGAATAAGTTACTTTTAACTACTTATTGGACAGCTATAAAGCTTATTTTTCTGTTACAGGCCAGGAAAGTAGAGCTAAAAACTCAAAAAGACACCCCAGACGTCTCAAACCTTCAGAAATGTGCGGATTTTGTCCATGCCTTCATGCTAGGATTTGATGTCGCAGATGCCGTGGCCCTTCTCCGACTTGATGATCTCTACGTAGACGCCTTCATGCTAGGATTTGATGTCGCAGATGCCGTGGCCCTTCTCCGACTTGATGATCTCTACGTAGACTCTTTCGAGATCAAGGATGTCAAGACACTTCGAGGGGAGCACCTTTCTCGTGCAATTGGCAGGCTTTCGGGAAAAGGGGGCAAAACAAAATTTGCCATTGAAAATTCTACTCGTACTCGTATAGTTATAGCTGATTCCAAAATTCATATTCTGGGTTCCTTTTTGAACATAAAGGTTGCTAGAGATTCACTTTGTAGTCTCATTTTAGGATCTCCTGCAGGCAAGGTCTATTCCAAGCTCAGAGCTGTGTCTGCAAGATTAGCAGAGAAGTATTGATGGTGTGCATTATTTATGAAAAAAATGTTAAATGAGTTTTTATGTTTGAGTGGATAAAAAAATTTTGGTTATCTATATTTCGGAGGAAAAAAAATGTTAAATGAGTTTTTATGTTTGAGTGGATAAAAAAATTTTGGTTATCTATATTTCGGAGGAGTTAAGTATTTGATATGCAGCTGTCTACTTATTCATTATTGTACACCTGCCAAGGTGATGTGTGCCTGTTGAATACTTTGTAGGTACCTATGTTTTGTACACCTGCCAAGGTGATGTGTGCATATATTTGATTAGGCGCTGGCAAGTGATGATGCTAATGTTGTAGCATTTTGGTAACATGACATAATGATGGATAATTAAGCAAAAGCTTGCAATGGGAATTCCCCCCCTCCCCTGGGAATTCCCCTTGTTCTTTCTTTATTGTGACAGATAAGATTGTGAATAGTATCTGGTTTTGTGAATCTCGTGCCATTCTGAGAAAAACTGGAAAATTGAAAAAAAAAAGTAAGAACGTGAAAAAATAACGATTCCATAAAAAAACTGTGGATAGGCCCCTGTGTGAAATTTTCCTTTATAGTTGTTACTCTTTTACCCTTGGGAAGGTCTATCTATTAAAAAATAAATTTCTGTTTTCCTACGGATAAAAGAGTTGTAAGAATTCACTCAAGGGTCTATCTGCGACAGTAAAACTATAATGGGTTTATCTGCAACTGGGTTATATTATATAGTCTATCCACAATTGCAGAGTCTAGGTGATTGAAACTTGATTGACAATACGTTTAACTGTCAAATATAAAAGGATAAGTTAACAAAAACTTTCTAAACTTTGGTGGTTCAAACCTTGAACTTTGGACAAGTAATGCTGACAATAACATAGTTAATGAAAGAAAGAGTGAAGATAAAACATTTAGAATGTATCAAATAAGACCTTCTGATGCACACGGTAGGGGGAAGTCTCAAAATAGTAGTAAGTTTGCAAAAAAAAAAAACAGCAGGAGGTTGAGTTAAGAAGAGTTGTGGACACTTAAAAATATATTATTATTATTTCTCTAGTAATACAACCATTTAGACTCTCTCAAGTACAAACACACTCTCTATTACATTACTACACTCTTTTACAACTACTCACTATTTATTTTTCTTCTCCTCTCTCTCTCCCTCCTCCGTCCCTCCCCTTTTCTTGCTATTTGGGAGGATATCCACCGAAGCCTTTGGGAGGTTATTTATAGGTGATGATGTGGTAGGTGTACACTGTGAAAGTTAGGTCGCTGCAGTGTTGCTACAAATACTTGTTGGTGGGTCGTGACTATAGTGTTGATTGGTGGCTGCTAACTTTAACCCTCTCCCTCTGTAGCGGCTTCTCTATCTATGAGTCCAAACAAAATTCTAAATTCTTCGTGAATGCTTGGATTTCTTCTTTCACAATTTATCTCTACTCATCATTCACGGATGGCTTCTTCACGTCTTCAATTACAGCGACATTATCATATTTGGGATTTGGATTTCTAGGTCTAACCGATCTTCGAATTTGTCCTATTTGTTCCTCACTGATATATTCTATCTGACTGGGGTGCTCCTATTCTAATGTTATCGGATGAACACCATTCTTCTATGGATTCTTTTCCTTCATAGATGTTGGATAAACTTGGTTCTGTCTTCTTTGACGGTTGTGATTTTTCTTATTGATTGGCTCTCCCAACCTCTCTTGTAACTGATCCTTTGGATCATTGGACTCTAGGAGCACAACTTCTTGTGGAGTCCACCAAGACAAAGCTTCGTCAAACACTACATTCCTTGATATGTAGCATCCTCCGGTTATGGGATCACAACATCTCCACTCTTTTGTTGTCATACTCCACAAAAATACACCTTATGGTCTTTTGTCAAACTTGCTGCGTAAGTGATCAGCCACAAAGACTTAACACACACAATCCTGAAATGGCTTACTGTTGGTTTGATATTCCACAGATTCTAAAAGGGTGACATGAACTCCAACTTTGGTTGTTGTAGCTGAGTGATCATGTGCACCGCAGTCTTCATACACATCGCCCAAAAATGTCCCGACGCATTCTTGACATGAAGCATGCTTTAGTATATCTCCCCAAGATGGAGATTCTTCCTTTCAGCAACACCACTCTACTGCAGAGCATTTGGACATGTTAGCTGTCCCGAATCTTATGTTGTTTCAGGTAGTCACAAAACTCTTTTGATGTGTATTCTCCCCCGTTGTCTGTGCGTAGGCAACAAATCTTCTTGCCGAGTTCTCCTTCGACTTCTTCTCGAAATTGCTTGAATTTGGAGAGTGCTTTTGACTTTTTCATTAGGAAATATACTCAGACATATCTCGAGTAATCATCGATAGAAGTAATCATGTATTGCATGCCACTTATCGGTCTTGCTTCACTCAGATGAATACATATGAGTGCACGAGCTCTAAAGGTTCCTTTGCTCCTCACTCTGACGCGCTTTTTTGGTGTATGAACTCCTTGGCTACATATCCGAGTCAGCCTTGGCATACCACTTGCTTCGTTCCTTATTGCTGAACCACACCTCATCTTCACTTCTTATTGAAACGCCAGCCATTTGTTTTGGCTCAGATCTCTTATGTAGCGAGGAAACTCTCTAAGTTTAATATTGTTGGTTGAATCGGCCAGCTGTGTGTAGCAGCAACAAGTCCGTGGTACTTCAATCTCGAACTGTGTTTGATTATTCTTCTCATTCTTGCATCGAACACTTTAAATTCTGGATCTAGTTGAGCAATATCTAAATAGAGTGATTTTACTTGGTTGAAGTACTGACTGGCTGTCAGATTCTTCTGTGGTAAGGTCATCAGTTGATTCTCAAAGAGCTAAAGTCGAGTGTCGTTCTTCTTTGAGAAAAGTGTAGCGAGCGTATCCCATGCCTCCTTCGGAGTTCTGGCATCTCACATATAGTCTACGAGATCTTCTTCTACTTCGACTTCAGCACATACATAGCATTATCGGATTTAATGTTCCATGAGCTTCCCGAGGTAATATAGTTGTAGTTATTACCGTTGAGGTTCTTGAGGATAGTAATAGTATTTGACAGACCCCCGCCATCATGATGTGGTACTGCTTTAGTATCTTCACGCAAGTCTGGTCCTCGACCAATTAACTTCATAGTCCCAGACTGAGCATTCACTTCGGTAACGTCGATAGGATCACCGTAGGAGAGAGTCGGTCCCTGATCACCTGCTCTGATACTAATTTTTGATTTGCAAGAGTGATTCTGATACCACTTAATGAATTAAGAAGAGTGGTGGGCACTAAAAAATATGTTATTATTATTTTTTTAGTAGTACACCCTCTATACTCTCTCCAATTCAAACAGTCTCTCTACTACAAACTACTACACTACTACACTCTTTTACAACCACTACCTATTTATTTGTCTTCTCCCTCTCTCTCTCTCTCTCACTCTCCCTCCCTCCTTCCCTCCCTCCCCTTTTCTTGCTACCGTTATTGTATCCACTGAAGGCTTTTGGGGGTTATTTATAGGCGATATTGTGGTAGGTATACTGTGGAAGTTAGGTCGCTGTAGTATTTCTACAGTACCGGTTAGTGGATCAAGGCTATAGTGTCGGTCGATGGCGGCTAACTTTAACATAGGAAGCTTACATAACATTTCGGACTATGTGAAATGTGAATGGTTTATTAACTCCATTAGTAACACTTTCCAAAGTTTGTAGGGATTTAAACCCTCCCATGTTAGGGAGGTTTTGTGAAGTTACCAAAGTCATGGATGGCATTAAGCGAAAGGGAAAATCCTTTTTTAACCCAAAGTTTTACCACCACTTATTTAAAAACCCATCCACTTTTCTAAACACCAATAAACTCATTGTACTCATATGACTTAGTTTTAAACCCAATGTCCATTATACATATCTATCTTTATACTGTATTTTTTCCAAAATTAAAAAACCCAATATTTTCCTTTCTCTCTTCTCCTGATCATCGCAACAGCAGGGCATCAATGGCGACGATGGCAAGAGAAAATGGCGGGCTACTCTCCCACTTCACCAACCCCCAATTTGGTACTCATCTTCAATTATTCTCTCCTTCTCTCTCTCCTCCATTAATTTCCCCTCTCTTCTTGAGAAATCTCTCTCATCCATTAATATTTCTCCCCATAGAAGACACTAATCCTACATCAATAGCTTGTTAACATTTTGAAATTTTGGGTTTTCTAATACTGTATGTTAACATTTTGAAATTTTGGGTTTTTTTGGCAATAACTTGTTAAAGATGAATTGTTCTTATAAATTGATGGATTCTTATCAAGCTTATACTTCAGAAAAGGGTATGTGCATAACAATTTTGCTCATATATAGCTATGCTTTGGTGACTAGTTTAATGCATAGAAGGTGTTTGATGGAATGATAAAAGGGATATAGTTATTTGGACCACAACGATTAGCGGTTATGCTATATTGCTGTTGGTTGAGGAGGCAATAGAGGTGTTTGATGAAATGTTAAGGAGAAGTTTGGTTTTGTGAACTGCCATGATCTTAGCCCATCGGTATGCCTTCCTACGTCCTCCGGTTGCTCCTCACCATTTTCTATTGTCACCAACACCTAACGTAATGCACAGCTACCCCTCAGTCAGAAACCATTCGTCAATGCACACTAACTTTCCAATCAAATACATGAGAGAATCCCCCACTCTTGGCATTTGATCAGATCTTCGCATTGCTGCCACATTGCAACCCAAACGGCAAATCATCTACAACTTGCAATATGATGTACCAAGTAGTATCCAATGTATCGTGTTGTATGAAATTTTCTATATTACGTATATATAGATGATTTGTGTGTAAATTGTATCAAATGCACTATCCAATGTATCATGTTGAATCAAATTTTCTATTAGAAATTTATCAGTGTATCTAGTAGAAATGTATACAACATTTCGATAGTAGTGATTTTGGATTATTTCCATTCAATCTTCATGGATTATTTTCATTCAATGTTATGTGCTTGAGTTTAATGGTTGATAGATATGAATATCTGTAATGAATTGATGCACTAATTGAACTAAAGAAGTTCTGATGTTAGGTTGTGATAACTACAGCCTATTGGGCCATATTATGCAAGTCATAATTATATAAGATGGCAGTGGCAGAACTTGATAAGCACTGAGCAAGTTGTATTGGCTACTCAGTTTGCGTATATTAATTAG